TCACACAAACACACAATCAAACACACAATCAAACACACAATCAGCACTCACACAAACACACAATCAAACACTCACACAAACACACAATCAAACACATGCACACGAACCTCGATGCTGATTGGCTGGTGGGCTTTCTTCCTGTAGAACAGCCCTTTGGTGTTGAAGACGGGACTGCGTGTGTCCTTATGGACCGGAGAGCGAACTTTCTGTCCTTCACAGCGAATGATCACGTAGGGGTCTGACACTGGAGAGAGAGAGACAACAATGGTGAAGGTTCCTCCACTGAAGCACAACAGTCCTTTAATTTGAATTCACTAGATCCACATTTTTGTTTGGTTCTGGAACAAATTTCAAACACACTCATGACTTTCAGTCCCTGAATCCTGCCTGATCTTTTTCATCAAGATCCGTGAATTCATTGACGTGAAAATATTGAAAAACATCCTCACACTGTTAAAGTAAGAAAAACTAAATTCTTGAATCAGCCCCTGATCTGGATCCACACCAAAATCTAAAGGGTTCTTTTCTTGACCCACATCACATCTGTCCAGTCATTTTTCTTTAATCCTGCTGATTAACACACAAACAGACTCAGCCGAGGACATAACCTCCTCGTGGAGGTGAATATTCCTTCATGTCTCTGATGTTGACGATTCCTGGAAAAAGCAAGAATGAAGTTAAATCTACCTCCACCAGAGTCTTGTCCTGCGAGTCCGTTCGCCTGTAGCACGTGGACCTGAGTGACCAGAGAGGGATAACCACACAACCCGGACCAGCAGGTCTGTGGAGGCTCATGCTGAGTCAACTCCCTGCAGCAGAGACAGAGAGACAGAGAGACAGATGATGTCCTAGCGTCTATGTTGTTGGTTTAACTGTGGTGTAAAGCTCAGGTTGGAGGAGGCCTTGATAACATTATTCGTTTGTCATCTAAAGACTCAATCATGCTGCAGAGGAACAAACACAAAGCAGCGAGGTCCTACTTGCAGTCTGAGGACACATCGGTGAAGACGCGGAGCAGGTAGTCTCCCTCCAGGCCGGGGTCAAAGGTTGTGGGTATGATGACGTAGCGCCCCTCTGTCAGGTCGATGCGTAGGAACACAGACCTTGAGTTGATGTAGACACTCCCACCAACCTTCTGCTGGGTGATGTGCATACGATACGTCCTGTTTAACTCCACCTGCACACAGACAATATTCATACGTCAGACTTCTGAGAGGCAAACTACAGAGAAAAACTATCATTTGAATATGAAAGTTTAACTTTTGCTTTTAAATATAACAGTGTAAGAAAAGTTTTTTCTATTCAATTCTGGAATATTATTTAAAATTTTATCAATTTATCATTATTTTCATATTTGAGGTCAATTATTGTTTTTCTAAACATTTTTTTCTAAAAACTATTTGACCCTAATTTGACTCACTCTCACACACTCACACACACTCTCACTCTCTCTCACACACACACACACACACACACACACACACACACACACAGCTCACTCTGTGAATGTCGAAACCAATGGCCAGGTTTTCTCCTTGTCCCTCCCTCAGTCTGGCTCTGCGATCTTTCTGCTGCAGACAGATCAGAACCTCGTCCTCTGGCTTCTCCACGTCGAACACGTACTACAACACGGAGCACAGACACACACAGACACACACACACACACACACGTTATCAGAGTTCACTCCGTCATTCAGCAACAATAACAAATGTTTGGAGGAACAAAATACCTGTGGGTTTTGGAGGAAGGAGTGCTTGTTGTTGGAGCAACCCCCCGCTCGGTTGAGAAGGGGGTCGTCGTGGCGACGCCAGGAGCCCCTCATCACAGCTTCCTCCCAGGTCTTGTGGAAACTCAGGTAGGACGTGTTGATGAGACGACAGAGGATGAGGTCTGTGAAGTTGGTGATGAAATCATCAAACGTCATCCTGCAGAAATGGAGAGAAGGAAAATTCTGGTTATGATCAGAGAAATTTGACTCAGTGATATTTATGATGAGAGGAAGAGGAGGAACGAGAAACAAACAAGTAGAAGAACATGTTAATTCATTTCAGGTGCAGCGTCACCGAGTGCCACATGCAGGCACCTTTGATTTGCCAACAGAGGGCAGCGTTGCTCTAAACCTCACCAGAACTCGCCATCATCCTGCACGGTGACGCCGATCCTCTCCCGCTCGCTCTTACTGACCTTCTTCCACTCTTCAGAGCTGCAGACACACAGTCAGTCGTCTTAATCATCAGTCGCTAAGATTTTCAACAACATGTAAACTGAACAGCAGACACATGCCAAACGCAGAAGAGGAAAAAAAGGACATTTAACTTTAAATTCTGAAGTACAAATGTTACAGATTTAAAAATTCCTACAATTTGTGCAGAGAAAATCTCTTTTCAGTCAAATAAGTCAAACCTGTTAATATCTCAGCTCTGGATGTGAACCTGAGCATCTCAATGATCTCAAACGTGACCTTTGCATCTCCACAGTAAAAAGTCTGACACCAACATTTATCGACTCTGCTCCTTCATCTCCTGCTCCTGTCGCTCCTCTTCCTCACCTGTCGCTCCAGGGCCCGTTCCACTCTCTCTGTCCCCACGGGTTCCTCATGCGGATCATGGTGAGTTTGTCTGACCTGAAATAGGCCAGAAAGCCGTGACCCAGCCTCACCCTGCGGACGTCTGTCACTGCGTAAGCGTGACCCTTCACCAGGCCGCAGTCCAGCCTGGCCTCCATGTCCGCCGCACTGGTTGCCTGGAACGACACATCGGCTCCGGTTCAGTGAGAATGAAGCTGAGTGATTTACTCACTGAGCAGGAGCTGGGTGTTTGACGTCTCCTCACCCGGATCGAGCAGCTGATGAGGCCTCCTCTGTTGTGGACCTTCAGGACTCTCTCGAACAGCTCGTTGCGTTTGTCTTCATCATCTTTGTATCCGTTCTCTATTAAGTCGTGTGGCTCTGACACGCCGCCGGTGAAATCCACGAGAGCATCGGCTGTGTTGCCCCCATCCAGAGCCTCATAACATCCACACATTCTGGGAAACACAAACAATCATTCGTGGTTTCAATCAGATGCTGCAGAGTTTTATTGTGTCAGGTGGATTCTTTCCTGCATCTGGATTCAAATGGACATAAAGTGCTTGTGGGAGAATCAGATTTGACTTCGTCCATTTGTTCAAGAAGCCTCAAATCAAAGCTTAAAATTCTTCTATGTGCAGCATCAAGGCAGATGGAAGCTGAAAGTGTAAAACTAATATAATAATAAAATAATCTAGGTGCAACACAGCATTTTGAATTCAATTCAGTTGAAAAACTAAGATATTAGGACTTTAATTCTTATCCCAATAAAGACGACAGGGAGACGAGAGGGACATGCTGGACTTGCTTACTTGGCGTAGGCCTTCTCCACCAGCGCGCTCCAGAACTCGTTGCTGTCGTTGGAGTGACAGTACACCAGCTCTCCGTTCACCGTGGGCAGCTGGTCGTCGATCACCACATCCACCCACTCACCAAACCGCCAGAAGTGGAAGTGGAAGATCCCGGCATACGACTCCGGTTTCTCTTTATCCCACTCCTGGTCCTTCCAGTCCGGGATCACCTGAGAGAAACAACGTGGACATGTGATCATAGTCATCAGAGCGGAGGACTCGAACCAGCGGTCGCTCTGTTTTATGTTATCCATCTCTTTCTGCTTTGTTCTGTGTTGTTTGATTCCCATGTGTTTTGTAAAGCACTTTAGATAAGTGCTATAGAAACAGGAAACTGTCGAACAACTAATATCCAGTTTCTACAAAACAGACTTCAATTTACCAAATGCAAAAATCTAAACTATAAATATATAATCTACTAAATAAAGAAGCATCCCACAGCTTCCATTTGTTCTTCAAGATCTGAAATACATCATGTTTTCCACTTAATTAACCTCCAGCATCTGTAATTAACTAAAGATTTCCAAAGTTTTTAACAAGGGAACGCCAACCACCCACATCCTGTGTGACACACACACACACACACACACACAGACACACAGACACACACACACGTCAGTGAAGTGAATGATATAAATAAATAATTGATCCATTGAGCCAAGACCAGTCGAGCTCCCAGAAGCCCTCAGGAAACTCCCAGAGTTCCCTCTTGTTCGTCATCAGTGCGATCTGTTGCTAAGCACCCTCACACATCACCCACCTGAAAAAGGCTGAGAGTATTTTCATTTGATATTCAGACGTTTCAAACCTGTTCCATAGTTTACACCTCAGATAATAATTCAAAATATATAAATACTGGAGCTGGTTTCATGGCAGTACAAATTAAATGCACATTAAATGTCACTTTTGAAGAAGTGTGTGTGTGTTTGTGTGATTTAGAGGACGGGGGGGGGGGCACACAGAACAGAACTCAAAAATACGACTAACTGATCTGACTGATCCTGTTTTCTCATCGATCTCATCCCCACTTCTCTCTCATGTTGTGAGGCATGCCAATCAATGCGGCCGACCCAAACTACCCTGGGGCAGGAAGAGGGGAGGTGGGGGGGGGCAACAGTGAGGCACTGCCCAACTGTGATGGAAAGAGTTGGAGAGAGGGAGGGAGAGAGAGAGAGAGAGAGAGAGAGAGAGAGAGAGAGAGAGAGAGAGAGAGCAAGAGGGAGAGAGGGAGAGAAAAGAGAGAGAGGTGGGGGTGAAATCAGAAACTCTTGCAAAGCTTCATCATTACAGGATCCGTCCAGACAGGCAGCGCTGCCCTCGACACAACCCGGGATCAGAACCTCCGAGTCAGACATGGACCAGGCTGAGACTCCCTCTGACACCATGGTGCTGACGTTTAAAGAAGACTCTGCTCTGACCGAGGTGAGACTGACATGACTGCTCGTCTTCAGCTGAGTGAGTGTGTGTGATTAAATACAACTGCATGTACAAAGACTGGACCTGATTATAGATGTCAGTTCTGACAGTTGATGAAATGTTCAACATGGATATATTTAAATATATCACATATTAATTACTTTCAGTTTTAAACACGACAGACGATAAACATTTGTTTTGTTTGTAGTTTTCAAAGTTCACTTTCTGCAGACGGATGCTTTTCAGGAACTCCAGCTGTTTTTATAGGAATGTCTTGGTTTATTTAAACTTGTCTCTTTCTGGTTCATCACATTCTTCACGACGTGTGTTCTTAAAGTGCTCCTGGTGATTTCAATGTCGCTGCAGTGTAACAATCAATAGATCTATTGACCAGTTATATTGTTAGATATTAAATGATCAGAGAACAGTTTCCTGTTGTTCTTTCTGGTTTCTCAGAGTGACGTGACAGCTCAACAGCTCCACAGCTCCGCACCTTGTCCATGCAGAGAAGTTTGGTTCACAGCTACATTCATACATGTACTGATGTCAGTGACTCCAAAGAAAATGAAAAGGACAGGTTAGCAGCAGGTGAGCTGAGGAAGAGGAAGAGGTCGTTACACACGAGGAAGAACTTTGAGCCCGAGTTTCCCAGTGAGCTGACATGATGAGAAACATGGTGAAAACTATTTTTCATAGTTTAGTGTTTTATGGCCTACACCTGTAGGGGGTGCTGTGGTTCAGGTTTGAGTTAACACGAGTCGTGGTTAGGATCAGGTTACGGTTCGGCTTTAGTTGGTCATGGTTAGATATCAGGCGTTGGTTAGACCGTGCACAATGAATGGAAGTCATGAGAACAGCTGTGCAGGTGTGTGTGTGTGTGTGTGTGTGTGTGTGTGTGTGTGTGTGTGTGTGTGTGTGTGTATGTGTGTGTGTGTGTTGGTTTGTAGTCGTGAGCTGCAGAAGTTTCTCTTCAGAATCATCTTTGTTGACGAAAGTCTTTGTTTCTCAGACTGAGATCTTCGACTGACTCCACCATGTTTCTCTCAGAATCACGAGGGGCCTCTCTTCTCTCTCCTCCTTCCTTTGTTCCAGATGATGCGTCTTCGCGTGTCGTCGTTGCAGCGCTCGGGTCAAAAACGTCAGGATGGCGAGCGTCTGCTTCTTCCCCACGAAGCCGTGTATCGTCTGGACTTCCTCATCCAGGGGCTGAACTTCTCCCGCTGGAATTTCTCCCTCTCTGGCCACGGCCGTGTCACCATCACTGGTATTTCCCAGCACTGGACCCCTGACCTCACCCACCTGATGACCCGGCAGCTACTAGAGCCCATCGGAACGTTCTGGCGTAACGCTGATGACCCCGAGGACTTGGCGCTCAAATGCCTGGAAGCGGACATGCAGGAGTTCGGCGAGAGGATCGCTGAGCTGGCCAAGGTCAGGAAGGTCATGTACTTCCTGTTTGCTTTCAAGGACGGAGCAGAGGCAGCGAACCTCAGCTGCTCGGTGGAGTTCACAGCAGAAAAATGACTTTTCACTTTTTACCGGAACAAACCTGTAGCTTGTTTGACCTTAAAGAGAAACACACTAGAGCAGCAGAGAGTAAAAATCTTCTTAAATATTCTCCCTCCAGCTCTCTGAGTTTTGTACATTCACGGCAAGTTTCAGAGCAACGTAAAATACTTTTTCCAAAACATCAATCATCCTGGATAAACCAATGTGAGAGGAAAATTAAAAGTATGACTGCACTTTGCTTCAACTTCATATGGAACTAGTTCTCTGGTACGTTCGCACGGTTCTTGGTGCTAGTTGATGATCAATGTATCATAAATCATCAATATTCAAACATTTTAAATTCATATAGAAACATGAGAATTCATGAAACACTTCTGTTCACATTATTCTACAGTGATTTTGAAGCCTCGTTATCAATTAAGAACATTTAAGAGATTTTTATGGGTCATAATAAAATGATCTTGAAAACTAAATGATCATCTATAAGAATAAAACCTGTAAATAAAGAATGCCTTTATTGATCAGCTGACTACTGAAATAATAACATGTGTGATGAGTTTAAAGTAGAAATAAAACCGTTGTCTGTGAATGGAAAGATCAAATGTTCACGTTGACTTTCAGCCTGAGAGATCAATGGAGGGACGTCGATTAAATATCGACTGAAAGCCGTCTGTGTTCTCATTGGTGGGGATCATCATCTGTGTCACTGGACAGAGGACGAGGAGGAGGAGTCAAGTTTTAAAATAGAGTCAAAACAAAACATCACAGGTTTCATGACGATGCGTCGTCCGCTCAGATCTGGAGTCAGTGTTGATGTGGTGGAAAATAAAGAAAGAGAAATTTGTTTTTTTTCCACTTCCTTGCTAATTGTCTTCAGACTTCCTGTGTGGTTTGTCATCATCACTTCAGAGGCTCAGTTTCAGAACCGCTGTTGGTGTCAAGACAACCGGCTGCTCCGCCGAGGCAGCGACACCAGAAACAGACTCGAGTTTCCTTCAGCTGATGGAAAACTGAGCTGCAGCAGAAGACCTGCGAGACCGCAGAGCAGGAATGAAGCAACCAGGTGGAAAGAAAGAGAGAAAACACACACACACGTTTGTACAGCTGTCTCAGTGAGGACACTCATTGTCCCCCCCCCCCCCCC